TTGCCAACGACATTTCCTATGTTGGGCAGTACTGGTGAGTTTGGTACAACGCAACCGCAACTTTGCCTCGAACGCCGTACAGACCTCCCTCTTAACATTCTCTAGGAACACGAGTGGCTACGATCTCTGGGAAGAGGTTTACGGCTCTAGCTTTTTCACCACACAAAACCACTACAAGAGTCTCGTCGCCGCAAGCCAGCTGGCCGACAAAATCGGGGCCACGTGCACTGGCTGTGTCGAGGCACCCAACGTGCTGTGCTTCCTTCAGACATACTGGAACGGCGACTTCCTGACGGCCAATATCAACGTCGACAACGGCCGCTCGGGCATCGACGCCAACACGATGCTGGGCGCCATTTCCGTGTTTGACGTTGCGGCCGACTGCGCGCACCCCAGCCTTCAGCCGTGCCACAGCCGCTCGCTGGCCAGCTTCAAGGTGTTTGTCGACACCTTCCGCAACGGCAGCCTGTACGCCGTCAACGAGGGCGTTCCGTCGAGCGCAGGCGTGGCCCTGGGCCGCTACCCAGAAGACGTCTACTTCAACGGCAATCCCTGGTACCTCATCACGCAGGGCGCCGCCGAGTTCTTGTACGACGCTGTCGCGCAGTGGACGCGCCAGGATGCCATTGCCGTCGACGCGACGTCCGAGGCCTTTTTCAGGGACCTGTACCCTGCGGCCAGGGCCGGCGAGACCTACCGCAGGAACGCCAAGGACACCACCAAAGGCAAGGGTGCCCCGCCGCGCGCTACCTTCCAGGCCATTGTCCACGCCGCCACCGCCTATGCCGACTCGTTCGTTGCCGTCGCCGAAAAATATACGCCCCGCGACGGGTCGCTGTCGGAGCAGTTTGACAAGAGCGCGGGCCAGCCGCTGTCGGCCATTGACTTGACCTGGAGCTATGCCGCCTTTGTCACCATGGCCCGCCGCCGTGCCGGCCACTACCCCAAGTACTCGTGGACCCAGTCGGCGCCTGCGGCCGTGCCATCGGTCTGTTTAGCCTCGTCGACCAACGGCGTCTACGCCCCGGCCACGGCCGCCGGCGCCCCCAACGTCACCGCCACCTGCACGAGCGGCGTCCTCTTTGTCGTCAACGCCAGCACCTACTACGGCGAGAACGTGTACCTCGTCGGCAACACCACCGACCTCGGCGCCTGGGACCTCGCCAACGCGCAGCCCCTGTCGGCCAACAACTACACGTCCGAGCGCCCCGAGTGGTTCGCCGAGGTGCAGATGACGGCCGGCGAGTACGTCAGCTACGTCTTTGTGCGCGAAGAGGACTGCGGCCAGGCCAGCATCTACGAGACCGTCAACCGCACGCTGCTGGTGCCGGCCTGCGACGAGAACGCAACGCCCAATTCGCCGCCCCTGCTGACCACGGACAATGCGTGGACCGGGCCCACGGGCAGCTCGGGCGGTTGCTAATGGCTGGATGCCCTCTCCCACAGTCGTCCTCATAGACCTGTAGTGATTTGACCCCAACTAAGTGTGTCCCGGTTTCCTTGTCTACGGCCTCTTGGCGCATTAGACGGCGACATTCGATGCGGCCTGGATCCCGACGCCCAAGACTACGCTGTTGATGAAAGCATTGGCGAGGATGACGACGAGGGAGGTTTGCCGGGAAGACGGGACATCGAGGCCGGTGGCGGTCGGCGCGAATTCAAATTCAACCTGCTTGACTATGTGTACGGCTGCACAATTCTTATTTTGGCTCGAGGATACCTCGGATCGCTCACAAACATTCGTGCACAGCCGGAACCTGACTCGACGTGTACAGTAAAAAAGGTAGAAGCGCAGTTAATTTTAACCATGGATGGAAACAACGCGAACAATCATTTGAAGATAAAAAACAAAACAAAATAAAATACAAACCTCACAGTCATCGAAGAGTGTCACATGTCTGTTCTTGTAGACCACGTCTACAAAAAGGCCGGCCTCAAGCTACTCAATATAGTATCCTGCTGATGGGCGGCACACAGTTGGTATTATTATGGTGTGCATTAATTATGCCGCACACGGCAGGGTGTTTTTTTTTCACCTTTTTTTTTTAAAAAAAAAGAAGAACCGATTCACTATTCTCACCACGCCCACAACTCTCACCACTTGCACCGGCCCTACCATCCCCAACAGCCCATTTATTTTGGCCCTGCACCGCCTCCACCTATCATGGATTCTACACCTCTCACGCTCCTCCCCTTGTGGTCGCGCGAGGAGGCGCACCAACAGCGCTGGGGTCCAACCATCCGAGGCATGGTCGGTTCGGGCCTCGCGTGCTGCGGCTTCGTGCTGTTTCGCTGTGTCTACGGGGACGACGACGCCTGGGCGCGCTTCCTCGACACGATGAAGCAGTGCGTGCGTGCGCACGTCCAGCGCGATGCCGTCGCAGGCCAGGCGTTTGCCCGGTATGTGGAGCCGGCCCTGGCGTGGACCGTCATCGAGGACGAGACGACGCTGGCCAATGCAACCAAGGAGCAGGTGCGCGAGCGGTTTGTCGCGTGGCGCGACGAGCAGCTGCGGGACAGTGCCCGGCACGTGTCGGTCGCGCAGGCCGGCTTTTACAACGATCTGCCACGGTTCAACTACTGTCTATGCGTCGACCAGGCGTGCCTGGACAGTTTGGGGGTGTATCGGGCGAGGGAGGACCAGCTGGGCGTCTACGAAGCCGGGCCGCCGGTGACGGTGGCCCTCGTTGCGTCGCCGTGGGCGAGGCCATTTGCGTCGCTGGCCGATTTGCAGAAGCAGGACAAGTGGCTGGGCTGGGGGGCCTTTTCGTCTCGAGGCCAGCCATCCGACGACGACGAGGACGACGAGAACGATGAGGAAGAAGTAGCAGAGGACGAGTTTCTACCCATCGAGTCGTCCACATCCGTGAGTTTCATTCACCTCTCTCGTCAAGCTGTCCGTCCACTAACATGGCAACCGTCTACGCGCTTTAGTACGACGTCGGCTGGATGTACATTGAAGTCAAATCACTGGTGGGCACGTACGACATACTGCATGGCGGCGACAAGTGGGAGCATTACTATCTTCGGCCACCGCTGGTGTATCCCAGGCACCAGTTTCGGCGGCCAGCACTGGACAGCCTGTAGTCATAGATGTTATACATCGGGCATGAGTTTGAGCGTGTTGTGACCACTCGATTACGTATACACCACCATGGGCGGCGCACTTCTGCTGTCCCTCCTGTCCGTTGCGCAAGTGTTGGGCCAATTTACCTTTGGCTACTTGTCCGAAAGAACCTTTCACGTCGTAGGCGCAGTAGTTAGTGGAAAGTGCGGTTGCCGTCGGCCTTGTATATTTTACAGTGGAGAATTGTCATTTACAGGGCGTCACTGACGTCAGCCGTTTCTCGCTAAATAAAAGCAATAAAAAATCCAAACCATGCAATAGTGTACTTCTTTCTCACCAGCGCAAAACACATTTGATACATTGTTTCGTATGCCACGAAGCTTCCGAGCTGATCGCTACCTCAAAAATGAGTGACACGGTTACTTCAATCGAGCTTCAGACGCGCACACACGATGCATCCTTCCAGGGACCGTTCCAGGGCCACGATGCTCATCGCAGTCCCGACGAAACGGTTATTCCTGGATTGAAGCCCGTCGACAAGGGGCGCGATGCATGGATGGTATTGACTGCTGGTTTCGTCTTCGATGCCTTGTTCTGGGGTGCGTCTCCGTCCGCTGCAGAGTGATGGATTGACCGTGTGCTAATCGTCCGCCAGGATTCCCAATGTGTTTTGGTGTGTTCCAGGACTATTATTCGTCGCGTCCAGAGTTCGAGGCCGACGCCGCCAACGTCACCATCATCGGCACGGTAGCACAAGCACTCTACTACCTGGGTGCACCCTTCTCTGCGCTTTTGGCAAAGCGGTTTCCCAAGTACCGCCGCCAGCAGATCTGGCTGGGTTGGCTGATGTGCATTTTGGGCCTGCTGGCGGCGTCCTTTGCCACGTCGGTCACGGGGCTGATTGGCACGCAAGGCGTTCTGTACGGCTTTGGCTTTGTCATCCTGTCGTACCCCATCATCAGCATGATCAACGAATGGTGGGTGTCGCGCAAAGGCATGGCCTTTGGCCTGATCTCGGCCTCGTCGGGTGCTACGGGTGCCGTCATGCCCTTTATCATCACGTCGCTGCTGGCAAAGTACGGATACCGAACCACGCTGCAGGCGTGCGCCGTGGCTATGACGATCTTGACCGGGCCCTTGATACCGCTGCTGAAGAGCCGCTTGCCGGCGTCGGACCAAGCGCAGCTGGCGCGGACCGAGTGGTCGTTTCTGCAGAAGCCGCTCTTTTGGGTGTACGGCATCGCCATCCTGACACAGGGTCTGGGCTTCTTCTTCCCCATCAACTTCCTGCCCACGTATGCCTCGTCCATTGGCATGTCGACCACGGGCGGCGCCCTTTTGCTGTCCCTCCTGTCCATTGCGCAAGTTTTGGGCCAATTTGCCTTTGGCTACTTGTCCGACAAGAACCTCCCGGTGTCGGTGCTGGCTGGTGTGTGCTGCACCGTGGCAGGCGCGGCTTCCTTTGTGCTCTGGGGTCTGTCCACGTCGCTGGCCTGGCTGATCCCGTTTAGCATCATCTACGGCTTCTTTGCCTGTGGGTTCGGCACGATGCGGGTTGCCATGGGCCGGGATGTCCACGGTGACCCGCTGGCCACCTATGCGATTTACGTCTTCTTGCAGGGCGTCGGCAATATTCTGGTTGGTCCCATCAGTGCAGCTTTGACGAGAAAACCCGTCTCCATGGCTGACTACGGCTGCGCAAAATACGCGGGCATTATCCTGCTGACAGGAGCGACATCCCTGCTTGCGACTGCATTTATTGCCGGCTGGCATCTGTACAGAATTGTTGAGCATCGGAAGACGAACTAGGTTTATATGGAGGACGTTGTCCGGAGGACTTGCCTATGATGCAATTAATTTGTCTCTACTCCGGATATCGGAGTACGAATTTTCAAATGCATTAAGACTTTCATCTCTCTGGGCTTTGACCCCTTCACCCTGTATTCCATACTATCCTGCTTTCATCGCCCTTGCTCCAATACCCACTGCCGCCCTTCTCCCAGATTTTAGAACGCGCTTCAAATGATTCGCGCATCGCCGCTTGTTCGGGAGCCGAATTCTGCAGCTCCAGCTCTGATTCTGGCGCAAGTTGGGCAAATAGCTCCAGTAAGGTGTATCGTTGGAGACGGTCCTTGTCCCAGAGCACATACGCCCTTTCTCGAAACCCAGCATTGTTACTATGCATGAGAGTGTCATGGAAACGTAGCTCTTTGTTGGCTATCCACCAAGCTTCAAAGGGACCTTTGTCGGCATCATGTCGAGGTTCTGATGGTAGAAACAGAGCAGCTGTCTCCTTGTCTGCATAATCATGAAGTGGAGTGTCATCATCGTCTCCGTCGTCGTCGTAGAGTTCGGTCAATACTTCGTTGAGACTTGCACTGTCTAATCCGATTGCTGACCTTAAAAGCGCATGCTTGGCGTCGTAGGAACATTCATTTATTAGTTGATGGACAAAGCCAAGGCCTCGTGATAGCTGAATAACATTATGTCAGTGCATTGAAAAAAGAAATAACAAGACCTTACAAAGAGGAAGAAGGTTGAAGGACTTTACCCAAGTTTGCCTTTTGAAGTTCATCAAACCAGGTGTGAGATAGTCAATATCTCCAAAGTCTACATCATGAGCAACAACTTCACGAGACGCTGTTGATGAACGACAAGATGTTAGCGGTGATAATACTTTTATCAAGTTCTGGTAAAAAAAGACACCAAGAGGAAGCACAGCAAAACCTTTTGAAAACTGAAGCTCGAGAAATTCTTGCGCACAGCCAATCTGCTCGTTTTCCCACGGCGGAAACGTATGCAAAAAAGATGCACCAATGCTGCTCAAGTCTGAGGGGTAGCGGAAGAGCAGGAAATACAGTTCCATTCGATAAAATGCCCGGCAAAAGCGAATGTATTCTGCCGGCGACAATGATACATTCCCAGATATGTATGGTTCTCCGGGCTTGAGAGAAAGACGCGCCCATGCTGTGCTCGAAAACGTCGTCACAAAGTCATGAATGATGTCGTGTTTGCCACTCATCTGCGACAACCGTGGACGCTCCATCACCACTAACTGGCTTGTCATTGTGGCCGACTTCGTTTGCGACTCCAGGTATATCTCGTCTTGCAGTTTATCGAGTAGTGCCTGGACCGGCTGAGGCATCCGTGTATCAATACGCGATGCTTCCATCACGGCGACTGCATAAGGGAGCAGCGCCGGGGCGATTTGTTGCTGCAATATATCAATCGCGATGTGCGGATTCTCCTGGAAGCTCGTGTGGAAAAGGCGACATGTGAGGAGCGCAGATGCAAGATCCTGCAGACTTCCCAAGTGCCGAAGCACCGTGTTGATGATCTCACATGGAAGTTGAGTGATGCCGGGCACTGCCATTGCTGACGTGGTTGATGTTGTTGATGTCGTCGACATTGCCGTAAAAGCCAAATGGGGAGTGCGATGGAAATGGGGTTACAGGTAGTATATCGCTCGATACAACGCCGAGTGATTATACCTGTTCACGGGTACATGATGCATGCCTTTGCCCCGCAGACATATTCTGCCCCGCCAATTGACGTGGGCTCCGGGTGCAAACTGCAGGGAGCATGTTCAGATGTTCGCTTTGTGCACCAGACACAGCCAGCCGCACGCCCCATTTCACTGTTTTCTTTGGCACCACCATGTTGATTGGCTCCCTGGACGCGTTTTCTGCTCTGGCCCTGACCTTGCTCCAAGCCTCTTTCCAGACCCAGGCCTCATGTTATCGTCGGTATGATAATTTCGACATTGAACGTTTAAAATACGCACATTGGGTTCTACGGCGGTCAATAAGGCATCGTCATAATACTCTTGTATTTTATCGGGAGGTTGGAGCTGAGTAGAATATTAAACGCAAAGGACCTTTTAAGATAAGTGAGAGATACACCTTTGTGAAGAACACACATGGGACTGCCTTTCACATTAAGCAGCACGGCTTTCCGGGCTGACTTCAATGACGACCTTTCCGATATGCTTTTGCGCTGCCAAATATTGGACCGCCTCGTTGGCGTCCTCAAACTGGAAAACCTCGTCGTCGACTTTGGGGTGAAATTGCCACTGCTCAATCATGCGAGCCATTTCCTCGTAGTGCGCCCTGGACCCCGCCAGCACGCCCCGGACGTTGGCCGCACGCGGCAAGACATCCATGACGGACGGTCCGGCCGTGCTGGCGCCCGTCAAGAACCCGGTCACGGCCACAGTCCCCTCGTACCGAATGGCCTTGAGGCTCTCCCCGAGCGTCCCTGTCCCACCCACGTCGACGACCAGGTCCACGCCCTCACCATCAGGCGTCAGGCGGCGCGCTGTCTCACCCCACGACGGGTCTTCGTTGTAGTTGATGACCGTCTTGACGCCGAGGTCCGTAAGCCAGTGCTTCTTGGCGTCGGAGCTGGTCGTGCCGATGACGACGGCACCGAGGCGGACAGCAAATGCGGCAGCAAACATGGCGACGGCGCCTGTGCCTTGCGTGAGCACCCAGCTGCCCGGTTTGACGACCGCCGCGTCCGTGGCGCCGAGACCATGCTGGGCGAGGATGTTCCACGCCGTGACGCCGGCGCCGCCTATGGTCGATGCTTCGACAAAGGACAAGAAGCGCGGGAAGGGCGCAACCCAGGACGCCGGAAGAACGGCATGCCGTCGCAGCGTGCCGGGCATTAATCCGTCTCCGGGCGCCCCGAAGGTGGCAGTGGTCATATGACCTGATTGCAACAATGGCGCGGGAAGGACAATCACCCCGTCGCCGGCGGCCACGGACGTGACCGAAGTGCCCGTGGCGAGCACAACGGCAGACGCGTCGCTGCACGGAACGAGAGGAAACTTGGTGGGTAGAGGGTAGCCACCCTAATGGACGGTGAGTTTGTCAAGTATGAATTATGGAACAAGGGGGGCAGGGGACACGGTGAATGACAGCACTGCTCCTTTCGTACCTTTGCAATCGCAACGTCTCGGTAGTTGAGCGAGACTGCTTTAATCTCCAAAAGGACATCGTCCTTCCCGAGAGCCGGGAGAGGGACGCCCTTGTTGAGTCTGAAGGCGTTTTCAACACCAGACGGAGCAGCCAGGACCCATTCGTCGGTTTTTGTGGGAAGAGCCATGGTGATATTCCGATAGAGTTGTGAAAGTCAACAATGTAGTGTAGATCAAGGTAGAAACGAAGTTGGATACTGGCTTGACGCAAATTTCTGCTTCGGTTATATTACTTCCGGCCAGGAGAGCGAAGAGGCAGACGTATTTATACAAGTCTCTTACCAAGAGAAAAAATAATGAATGCAAAAGACCAAAGGTGGGCATTCTGATTGTTGATCACGTCAAACAATACATTACTAAGTTATGTCGAAGGGAAGTGCTGCAAAAACAAACGTCGATACTGAAAAACGAAAAGGTTCCTGCATCCTGCTGTTCGTGTTGCATGTCGCAGACGAGAAGGCAGACCAAATGTAATCCATATATTACCGATCCGACCGTTTTGGTCACACAATTTGGTCGAACATTTTGGTCGGGCCAGTTTGTCTAACAAATTTGGTCGATTCGCTCGTCGTACTAGATCCCGATTCAGTTTAGTGCAATAATATACCCCCAAGCTCAATTACACCGAGACGTGGGACAGGTTTGGTCCTTATTTATCAGCCGGCTATCTGTTCTCCAGCGCCGCTGCTTTTGCATAGCCGCGTACCATCACAGTCCACGATATGCGGGGACCTGTGCTTATTCGACCATGTCTGCCGACAATACTGTGGAGGCACGCGCAATTCAGGGCGACGAAATTCGCAAGAAAGCAGCACACATCACAACAGTCCTACGTCATCGACATGGCGACGCTGCGGGCGCCGCCACCACCGCGGTCGATGAATTCGTGGCAGCATGCAACATCCTCCCGCCCGGGCAGGGACAGACGGCCGCAGATCTCGCGTCCGCACTAGGACGCAGTACATGCCGCCGACTTGAGGAAGCTGCTCTCCGGAGCTTTGAACGACAGCTGCGGGGCCGGACCCGGCCGGACGGGACAATGCCGCGCGTGCCCCGCGCGCTGGCGGAGCTGCAGTCGGCGGCCAAGGCTTGGCGCCTGTCGCCGCTGGTTCTGTTGGCGGAGTTTGCCGACGCGCCCAAGTCGGACAATTTCTGGCGACTCCTGGCCCGATTGGCACGCTCCCGTTGCCATGGCTCCTGGCCGGACGTCCGCGAGCGCCTGCAAGTCGCTCGTCACCGCCGCCGATATGACCGTCTGGCTCGCCGTCAGGGCGTAAGCTACATCCAGCCGTGGGCCATTCCCGACATTATGGCAGTGTTAAAGCAACATGAGGAGGAGTCGGAGGAAGACCAGGACGGAGAGGAGGAGCACGAGGAGGAGCGAGGACAAGACCAAGAGCATGGGCAAGAGCATGATCAAGTCCACCAGCGCGCAAACGACAATCCCATCACAAGAACAGGACGGGACGATGCAGCCGCTGGACATGCCGCCCATCGACCTACAGCGCTCAGTGACACGCTGGATAGCACCAACATCGCAATACCAATTCCTCAGCGGCCAGATTCTGATGGTGAAAGCGGCGAGAATGGCGGCAGCGAAACCGGTGATGCCACCTTGTCAGACACCATTTACGTCAGCGGCAGCGAACAGACCAGTGTGTGGCGTTTCGCCTATGGCTGGTGGCTGCCGACCGACGTTGTCCACCGGCTTTGTAGCTCCTTCGTCCACATCCAGCCAGAATTGTTTCAATTTGCTGCATCTGGAGCTGGAGTCTCATGCCCCGCAGATGAGACAATGGACATATTATCGCCTCGTCTCGGCCGGCCAGATGCTGGCACGAGTACGATTATCGCGCCTCTCCGTATAAAGACATCGAATCACTGGATCCTCGCCACCCTGTGCCCTTCCGAGAACGTCGTCTCCGTTTACGATCCACAACCTGGCAGTCGCTTGTCCCACACAGAGATAGCAGCCGCCTTGGACGGCGCGCTGACGTGCGAACAGATACCAGCGGGGGGTGAGGCACTCGCCGTCGCTGACTGCGCTTTTGTGATGCGAAGCTGTCCAACTTTAGCGAACAGTATCGACAGCGGTGTCGCCGTGATTGCATTGTCCTTGTATTGCCTCGTGGGCCGTGCCATGCCCACGAGTATGGACAACTGGCTCTGGCGCCGCATGCTGGCCTTTTACCTGACCCGACTCTCGCCGGACGACGCCGCACAAACGACCAAAGATATTGCGCTGGCCACGTTGTTTGCCCAGACGCTTTCGGCCCGCAACATCCATACGCCGGCCGACACCACATCGACGAACCCTGCCGACTTCGCCGCCGAGCCGCCGCCGCAGCGGAGTGACAGGGACCAAGGCCACATGGATGCGGAAAGGAACTTGATAGACGGAATCCAACAACAACCGTTCGTTGGGCGTAATATTCTTGCACAACGCAACAGTGTCATTGAGGGACGCGCAATCTGGACCGCCGCGGCACGACTGGCCAGCCGTGCCGAGGCAGACGCACGGAGAAAGCGAGACGACATTGCGAGCGAGCTGCAGCGTGTGGTTGATGCGTTGTTCCATCACAACACACAGTCGGACACGAGGAGACATACTCGCCACAGAGATGCCAAGGCAGCCTTCGAGGTCGACGGTGATACTTTAACCATGTCGGTACGCCGTCTTGAGACGGCCGTGAAGACAGCGGAGGCGGACATGGCGGGCATTGCCGCAGTCGTGAATGGAATTCGTGCTGTCTTGGACGACCTTGACACTCTTCTGCCCAGTACACTACGTCAATCTCGGACTGGATCTCTAGACTAGGACTCTGAAAGCTCGTAATTACCAACGGACGCCTTCAAATAGGCGGCAGAGCAGCAAAACAAGCGAGGGGACGGCGACGACAACGAGAACAGCGACGGAGAGTTTCGCCCTCCGCGGCCGTTTCAAACATCGACAACACCGGCGAAGAAACAATACGCGACACGATCAACGGGCAAATGCACCACCAAAACAACCGAAACAACCAACACAAGCAAATTGAACAGTGCTATCAACACAAACAACACAATCAGCCCGAGGCGCCAATGCGAGATACTGCCCCACTGCAGCCAGGTTTGTATGTTGGGCCTACGCAACGGGGGCGCCCTCGACCGCGCCTGCCAGAATGTGCAGCTGCATCCGTCGATCGAGAACGGACACCACAAACTCACGCCCGTACAATTTTGTAATCGCCTACGAGAGCGGCTGGCGCACGATATGGGCGAGGACTGCGAGGCGCTAGACAAGTTTAGCAAGTTTGGCGCCATAGGCATGCTGTTTCGGCTTACGCTGCGAAGCCATGGCTACTGCGTGGCCGCCGAGGGGGTGCAGCGCGTGCACGCGCAGCGACTCCAGCAGGAGAAGGACATATACGACCACCTCCAAGAGCAGTAGGGCACGCTTGAACCCGTGTGCCTCGGGATCATCGACCTGGTGGATGTGTACCGGACGTCGTATGGCACGCACATCTCCCACATGCTGGTGATTTCGTGCGGCGGCGAACGACTCTTCTCGAAGGCGGCCAAGCCGATGCCTGGCAGCATCACCTCGCTTGTCTCTAGTTTGTGGTTCCGACTGCGGCAGCTTGGTGTCGATCATGGGGACGAGCGCGAGCCCAACCTGCTGTGGAACGCGCGGGAGCGACAGCTCGTGTGTATCGACTTTGAGTGGGCCAAGATTGCTGACCGGAAACAGGAGGAGGAGCGGCGGCGGGAGCAGAGGTGGGAGTGGAAGCGAAAGCACACAGCGGAGATGCACAGGGCCGGAGGCGGCCGCCATCGCTGGACGACGGCACTGGCATCAAGAAGCTCGTTGCGTGAAGGAGGCCATCGACGTGGACGTTATAGACGGTAACGACTGCAACGATTGATGAGTAACCAAGTATGGCAACGAATCATGAGATATGAACTATGAAAACATCACTATGGGACACGCGGCGAGTTCTGTTCACATTAGTGCACAAATAACACAAGTGGTTAGACAACTATGTCATGTTCGTACAGGCCGAGGCTTGGCGGTTTGATCGTTCCAGGCAAGTAGAACAAGACAAGCCAAGACAGCCAAGACGGCCCAGTCAGTGGCACGGTCCTTTCCAACAGCTTCAGCCGCAAAAGCTACTATCCGCAGTGCACCCTCCGCAGTGCACTATAAAACGTTGACTGCATATCCCGTTGGAGCCTGTGGCTGGAGTATACATACATTGGATACAGGAAACGAAAGTTGCGGTACGGCATGTGGCGCATATGCAGGTACAATTCTATCACAGTGTGTCAGGCACGGCAATCAAGTTGTGACGTTTCCAATTATAATGCATTGATGCTAAATTAAATAATGACAACAAAAGAGAAGAAGAAGAAGCACCAGTCACCACGACACACAAACACTGAGTCAATCTCATCGCCATCCAGTCGTTGGGCATATTTTCCGTGCTCCCATTCTACCTAGTACACGTACACAAACTGGTCGTTCTGCTTGTCCGTCAGATCCAGCTTGGCCACCTCGTCGAGCTGCTGCTCCTGGCCCTTGCTGATGACAACCTTGCTTTGCATGGAGGCGTCGACGACGTCGGCCGACTTGCCGGCGGCGATGCGCTGCTTGCGCTTCTGGCGGTTGAGGAAGAGCAGGTTGGCGACCTGGAAGCAGCAGGCGGCGATGAGGGCAATGAAGATGCCGAGGACGGCGCGGATGCCGGCCTTGTAGTAGGGGGCCTGGTTGGCACTGAACAGCAGCGGGCCGGAGAGGGCGCCGGCGGAGACGCCGGCCTGGACGACGGACAGCATGGAGGACTTCTTGGTGGCGCCGGCGGTGTTGGCAATGGCCCACGAGAGGATCAGGGGGTTGGCGGCGAAGAGGAAGGCGCAGAGGTAGTAGGCGACGAGCAGGGCGGGCTGGGACGAGTGGGTGCGGGGCACGGCGTAGAGCATGGCGGTGCCGGCGATGGCGGGGATGGTGAAGGCGACGATGACGGCGGACTTGATCTTGGCCTTCTGTGCGGCCCAGCAGGACAGCAGGATGATGACGAGCTGCATGAAGCCAAAGGGGATGTTGAGCAGCGAGGTCTGGAACTTGTCGAAGCCGAAGCCCTGGATGATGAGGGTGCCAAAGGCGCTGGTCATGCCCGAGGCCATGTTGGGCAGGATGATCATGGCGACCCAGAGCCACGACTTGGGCTCGAGGGCGACCTCGAGGACCTGGTGCCACTTGAAGGCGTGGTTGATCTCACCCGTCTGGTTGACGCGGAGGCGCTCGACGCCCTGGATGCGCTCTTCCTCCGACAGGAAACGGGCCTCGGAGATGTCGTTGTCGAGCTTCCAGTAGACGAGGGGGGCCGAGATGATGGTCAGCAGGCCGGCAAAGAGGAAGATGCTGTCACCGAGTGTTAGCAGATGGAAGTATACAAAGCAGGTTGTCCAACAGGAGACGCAAGACGCAAGACGCAAAGACGTACATTTGCCAGGGGCGCAGCAGATCCGACTGGATGTGGCCCAGGCCGTAGGAAATGGCAGCGGCGGCCATGGTGGCGACGCCGTTCATGCCGTTCCAAATGGCAATGCGCACGGGCTGCTCGGACCGCCGGTACCACAGGGCCGTCATGTAGGTAAACAGCGGCAGGCAGCCGGCCTCGAACAGGCCCAGGAAGAAGCGGGCGGCCAGCAGGCTCGGGAAGCTCTTGCAGCTGGCAATGCTGGCCTCGGCGATGCCCCAGCCCAGGGTCATGGCGGGCATCAGGATCCGCGGCGGCACCTTGACGATGAGCATGGCAGAGAAGGGCTGCCAGGCGAGCTGGGCGATGGCGGAGATGGAGCTGACGAGCGAGTACTGGTTGCCGGTGAGGCCGGTGTCGGCCTGCAGGCCAAAGAGGGCGCTGGTGGACAGCACGGCCTTGTCAAAGACCTGCAAAAAGTAGACCCAGGTCAGGAGGGCCAGGATGACCTTGTCGGTCTTGCGGCGGATGCGCTTGTTCTGCTCGTCGGTGAGGTTGACGAGCACGGCGGCGCCGGTGGCGTGGCTTGTGACGTCCTCGACGGGGGACAAGGTCTTGATGTCCTGGGCGGCATCGGCCGTCTCGATGTCAGAGGATCCCATGGTGGGTGGTGTGTTGGCTGTGATGAGACGGATGAGATGGATGAGATGGATGAGATGGAGGAGACGCGATGGTTTGAGATGGGATGTAGAAGAGGAACAAAGAGAGGAAAGGGGAAGGAGAGATATAGTACACGGACGAGTAAAAAAGAAAAGAAAAAAGAATCAAGTATCAGTCAGACCAATACTCAAAGAAGAGACTGGCAGAATTGATCAACAGAAACACATATCGACCAGTGGATCCGCGGCATCTTATATACATTCAGAGGCCGATGTGATGGGAGGAATGATAATACTGGCGGGCAGCATGCACACAGATACGGAGAATGCAGCGGCAAGAACACATGCAGAATGTGGCAATTGGCAGTCTGGGGTAACCAGGTGAGTGTGGGGATCGCTATCTGCGTGGCGGGTGCCCTTCTGCCCTTTGTGTGCTGTGGTTGGTTACCGTCGGGCTTCTTTTGTCCTCTTTGGTCCTCGCGTGTCCTCTAATTGCGCTCCTGCCCACTCTTGCCCACTCTTGCACTTGTGCGCGTGTCTTGCCCCCCCAGTTGGCCCTGTTTCTCCAGTTTCAAGGGCGCCCTATCAGCCACTATCACCACATGGCTCCATATAGCCTGCCGACGTCTGATAGCGGTAAACTGGTCGATGCAGAGCGTGATACGTTATCCTGGGGAATCCTGGGCGATACGGAGGAGAGCGTGGAGAGACAAACCGACGCGGTCGCAAAAGGGGGCGCCAAGGGGCGCAAACAGTGACTTTGGCCGACTGTGTCCGACTGTGTCCGACTGCATCGGCGAAGAAAGTTTGCAGGGCGTAAAAGCCGATTGGCCGCGTAGCGCCGGTGCCCGATTCGCTGTCACCCCCTGTATCCGACAGCACGTGGAGTCCGCTAGCACCCTCGCTACAGCCGCTAAAGCTCTCGCTAACATCATCGCTAACCCGAATGTCCTTAGCGCCGGCACCCTCACAAATAGCGGTTGCAGTGTTCGTCAAAGGTGCTGCATGTCACTGTAACCTCGATCCTCTGTTGACGAACTGTCCCAGCAGACCGGTCAACGTCTGACCTCACACCTAATCGTGTGCTGCTACGCTACTACCGATGCGATCGCATCGCGTCGGTGGCCTCGCGGAGACGCGTGTTCGGAGCCCAATGGGCCGAATCGAAGCACGAGACCCTTTGTCGCTGCACGTCATCTCGTCCTATCTCCTCCGCATCGGCGTCGGTCTGGCTTGGAAACGGGGGCAAGTCTGTATCGAGACACTACTTAATACGATAGGCATCTTGTAAAGCTTTATCATTATCACTTTTGAAAGCAGCATATTCACCGCCGTCGTCTTTATCGTCCTTGTGTTATCGTCCTTGTCATCACCACCACAATCACAGCCATGTCTCCAACCAGCCGATTTTCGTCGTACCCCCCGGGCATCCACGGCCCGTCCATCACCTTCTTCCAGGACACCGTCCAGCAGGAGGTTGACTGGGAGACCCAGGAGAAGCACTTTGAGTTTATGATTAAGCATCTGCACGGCAGTACGTCTCTGCGCCCTGGCAAACAAAATAGTACCATTGTGATCGTCGTCCCACTGACTACTAACTCTGCAGTTGTCCTGACCGGCTCCAGCGGCGAGAATGCGACGCTCTCGATCGAGGAGAAGAGCCAGATGGTCCGCAAGGCCCGGGAGGTCGCCACGCGCCTCGGCAAGCCCGACTTCCCCATCACGCTCGGCGTCATGGCCGGCTGCACCCGCGACATCCTGGCCCAGATCGAGGCCGGCCACCAGAACGGCGCCGACTTTGCCCTCGTCCTCGTCCCCGCTGTCTTCCACTGGTCCATGACCAACGACGCCGTCCTCGACTTCTTCAAGGAGGTCGGCGACCGCTCGCCGCTGCCCATCATCATCTACAACTTCCCCAACCTGCTGAGCGGCATCGACGTCGACCCCTTTATGCTCGAGGAGCTCGGCCGCCACCCCAACATCTACGCCGTCAAGCTGACCTGCGGCAGCGTCGGCAAGGCCACGCGCGTGGCCGCGCAGTTTGAGCCGTCCCAGTTCACGTCCGTCTCGGGCATGAGCGACTGGCTCGTCGCCGCCCTCGCCGCCGGCAGCAGCGGCTGCATCTCGGGCGTCGCCAACATCTTCCCCAACGTCATGATGGAGATCTACCGCCTCTACACCACCGGCCACATGCAGGAGGCCGTGGCCCTGCAGAAGAAGCTCGTCATGCCCGAGCTCGGCATCGCCACCTCCGACGTCAGCGGCATGAAGTGGCTGACCGCCTGGGCCCGCGGCTACCCGGAAACCAGCGTCCACTGCCGCCGCCCCATTCCGCGCTTTGTCGACCAGGCCAAGAAGGACCGCGCCCAGGGCCTGCTGAAGCCGCTGCTGGCCGTCGAGGAGGAGTACATTAAGAAGGCGGCGCAGGCCAGCACGTCAAAACAGACCAACGGCAACTAGGCAACTAGGGGGTAGAAGGAAAGGAGCAGGGGAAATGATGTAAAAGTCGTTTAATTTCTCAATGATGATGATTTTCATTTTCAAACTCAAAATATATCTGAGATGCCGGTTGCAGTTTTGTTGGTTTGGCTCCAGTTCCTGTATCTATACATGTTCTCTGTTATTATTATGTTGCCTTCTTTGCAAGGCAGACTACCAGTATTGTGGTTTTGTCCCGGCATCGTAGCCATCCGGGATTCAAGCGCTGTGCGGCCGGTGCTGGGTCAGCATTGCCAGAGTCGATCTTGACGGGCGGCATCGCTTCTACGCAGACCACGAGTACGAGGAGGCAAAGAGTGCGCACAAAAAGTATCGTTAAGCACATAGTTCGGCGTGTGTAGGCGCGCATGTTGGACGGCAGGTGCCGGATGAAATGCAGCATGTTGTTAAAAGTAGCTAGAGATGGAGAACTAAGGACTGGTAGAATGAATCAAATGGTATCAAAACAAAAACATAGCACGACACAACACAAGTCATCTCGCACCACATTCACTCAGTTCCACGATTCCCTCACCTTTTTTTCATAGTCGGGATCCAGCGAGCGCACAATCTTGCCGGGAATCGGGTCCTCGACGAGCGGAATCGATTCGGGAGGAATGTACTCCGTTTCGTCGTCGTATCTTCGAGTTTCACGGTGGACCGCGCCGCGGGGCACATAATACTTGTCCTCGTCGTCGGCCGTACTGCCCCAGCGGTGTTTCAACCAGCCGTTGAACGCCGGCCAGCGCCGGTGGTAGACGTGCGGGATCCATGCCGCGAATGAATTGAGAGGGGAGCCCCAGAAAACGTACATTGGGCTTATCGGCTTGGGCTGTCGTGGCCGCACGTATTTCGGCGACAGCCAATACGAGTCAACAATGTACGACCGGCCAAGGTCGACGATGACCACGCACTGCCCGGCCTCGTCGTCTTCGCGCAGAGCCGCATCCAAAACCAACACATTGCGCGGCTCAAAGTCGTTATGGGCCAGTCCCAAAAAGTCAAGCTGGCATCGGCTCTCCATGGCATCGGCCATCAGCTCGAGGCGGCGCGGGACGGGGATCGTGTCGACCACGCCGCGTTTCAGGAGGGCAAACATGCTGGTGCCGGCAATGTACTCGATGATGATGAGACGGACAGGCCGCGTCGGCGGGCGGTCCGCGTGCCCAGACTCGTCCTTTGGTACGGGCAGCTCGAATGTGTACGACCCGTAGTAGCACGGCGTGTATCGGCCATCGGCCCCCTCGCCGTTCAGATGTTCGTACGCAGCCACCTCGACGCTGTACTCGTGGTCGGCGTCAAACGACACGTCGCCAAACCAGCCATCGTCTTCGTTGAAGTACGCGCCATCGTAGATCTTGGCCACGTAATTGTCCTTGTTGTCGCCCTCGCCGTCGACGCGACACCGCAGAATCTGGGCCCCGTGGCCCACGCGCGCGACGATCTCCTCGGTGATTTGGAGTGTGTAGACCTTGTCGTAGTCAGGTTCGTTGCCGTCTTTGCCGTCGTCTTCTTCGCCGTCCTCGTCCTCGTCAGGCGGCCGCTCTTGGGGTGGGTGGCGGAGGCACCGCTCGAGGTTCGAGAGCTTGGACAGTGCTGGATCCCTGCCAAAATGGGTGTGCTTTCGCAGGCCGGGGGAAATGCGGTACCTCTGTCCAAACGGCGGTGGCGCGCGATGCCGTCGAATGGAAAAGGAGCGGCCGACTTGATAGGGAAAATCAACGGGTCGCGGGGGGTCCTGCTTCGACTGATATTCGTACATTTTGCCGCTTGCAGATGTAAAAGGCGGTTGGATTGCAGTCTGAGATGCAGCTGAATGTCGTTGGAAATGTGATGGGCATTTAGCGGGGTCTTATTCAAAACAGAAGCAATTGCACATCTGCTTGCAGAAAGGTCGCCGTAGCCTCACCTCAACGGATAACTAATCATTGGTCACCTAGAACTGCTAGGTCTCTGGGTCAAAAGCCAATACCTAAAAAACACAACGCACGGTAGAACCTAGAATAGCATAAAATAAAGACTGTTCAAAACCCTTGCGTAAGTACCGGCCATTGACAAGACAACTAAATATGGAATTGGCGGCCATGAATACCAGGGATGGGGAAAAGAAAGCCTTGTGGCAAATAATTGGAGAGGGGCTTTCAGGGCGCCTCTGACACAAGAGGGAGAGCCGGAATGACAGAGACAGCGCACCTAAAATAAGGAACAAAAGAAATACGGGATAGTCCTACTCCAGCTAATCTTGACTACAAAGGACATGAAGCAAGGCCCTGCTTTGCGAGGCCGCTTCTTGGGGGTGACAATAGCAAAAAAAGGCCTGGTTTGTTTTTAGCACGGCTCATTCACAGCCTCGCACAGTTTCAATCCTCGCCTAAGGCCTACATGCCATAGACCCACTTCTTCTAAAATCTGCCACCCCGACAGAGAGAGTCCAACCTGAAAGACGAAGATTGGAAGTTCAGTCGTGTTTCACAAAAACGATGCATTTCCATAGGCCAGTGGTGTGTTTGTTGGCGTAGGATATCAATAGGCCAAAAGGCAGGCCTTTAACGCTTCTCCCTACCAACCACCGGGCCAAAATTATGCGGCGGAGACATTCACGACAAACGTTCCAAAAAAAGACAGGCGTGCAATTGTTTCGTCAATGAAAACGATCATGGCACAGATGAAGATGCTGGCTATATTAAGCATCATCAGTGACTGCCATTTGTATATAATTCAACTATGCTGCTGCAGCGGCTCGAGTTCGATTTGGTCAGAAGGAAAGATATACTCACCCACACATCAAAGACCTTTTTTGTTTACATTTACCAGTGCAGCTCTTGCCACCACTTGATACAAATTCCTCATATTTCCCCTCTCCAGCTGCACGGATGCTGAAGGCTCTACTGTTCTGACCGATTTCACTTGACCATCAACTCTCTCTTCCATTGCTTTCACCCATATCGTCGATCATACTCCCACAGCCACACTTGCTCTCTCGTTGTCAACATGGGACTTCTTCTAGAAAGCTTCGACGAAGCCCTCGAGCTTGGACGTTATCTCGTTATGCCCCTCACTCGTCCCCTAGCAGTTGCTTCAGGTGAATCCACAAGGCGGGCAGACGAACCCAAGGTTCGCATCGACGTGCCATTCTCGGCATGGGATACATTTGCCAGTGCTGCACTCCGGGCAATGCGAGCCGGCAGGCACTTTACCAACGACCGATCGCCAAAGTGGAACGATGCCAGATACATGGACGTGGAGGGCGATGTTGCCGAGGCCTCGAGCGTGTATCTCCTCTACGCCATCGACTGTGTTCTAACGAAGTATCTGCCAGTCGGTATGTTTCGCGTTTTGTCACAGCACACCGTTTACGGGAACACCTTCTCGGTCCGAGCTGACCGCATTTGGGGTCTGGGCAACCCCAATACCTTGGACCTGCACGCCTACTTTGCGATTCTTGACTTTAAACGGCCCACTCTTATCGATCCAGATGACTTCGGCACAGTCTTCACCTGGAACGAGTTTAATGCGCGGGACCCGCTTGAGTATCTTGAACCAAGCTTCAAGAACAACTCACAGATTCTCCTAAAACAGGCCGTTAGCTACAGCAGCCACTATGGGACCAAATATATCGCCTTTTTCGACTGGCACACGCTAGTGCTCGTCGTCCTCGTGGATACGGACCTCGCGGATACGGAACTTAAGATGGGCGGCGAGTATTGCCTCGTCACAATTGTGACAGACAGAACGCAGATGATGCGAGCGCTGCTAGGATTTCTTATAAAGGCATACCATGCACAGATGGCTACTGTCGAGGACTACACCGACATTGTGGGGAGTGTGGACTCGGAGCAGACAGCTCCATCCAAGGGGAAAGGCAGTACTGCTGGCTTTGGCAGAAGTGGCGGAGAAAGCAGTCGGCATCGTCGTCGATAAGATGCTTCCTATTGCGTTAAGTCTTCTTTTGCGTTCTTTGCATTTACATTCAGTCCTCGCTCTTGTGCAGTTTTGCCCCCATGTTATTTTGATTTCTTATGGTTTTTATTCCGATGATTTCCCGTATCAATGTCTCGTTTGCAATTTCAGTCTGTACTTTTAGTTTTCTATACGAGTATTTCACAATGTCGAGAAGTATCAACTAGTCTGCCGGCTTTCGCTTGCATTACATCCTTTGAAGTTGATTATGTTTTCTTGGGCGCGTTGGTGGGAACTGGCTCATGCCCCAGTTACTACACACGACATGCCGCCAAGGAATGTCAAGCACGCTGAGCCCTGGCCTTGAGGGCGCTATTATGTGGCGCTATGGGACGCTACAACAGGCTAATATCTCTCAACGGCGTGGAAATCCCTTAGAAGGCCAGCCAAGCCCCCTGGGGCAGATTCTGTTAAGCGTATGTTAAAGCTGCGTGTTAGCGCCAGTATCCAATGAAGCGACCCCTGCGGCGCTCAGCCATGATAAGGACGGTTCAAAATAATTAAAAAAAAAAAGGGACACGCTTTGCGATAACAGGTTCGTCTGGATAACCGAGAAAACGACTCGGTAAAGTATTCCAGCGCGATACTAAGCCGTACAATATACTATCTCTGTACTCTTTTCAGCAAAGCCCATCTCACGATAATACCACGTTGTCCAAGGTGCTTGCTGGCGAGGTGAAGAATATGAGTTCCTTGACAGGCCTACATAGGTCCGGGGCTATTCAGGCGATTTGGCCCCTTTACCACATCCAGTTAGCGCTAAGGCCCTGGCCGCTCCCACCGAGATTAGATCCCCGAGTGGATGATTAAACCTCAAGACAAAAAAAACGGCTGGAGCATTTTACCTGCCTCCCGAAGAAATCCAGCACTACACCGACCAGGGCAGCCTCGTCGCTGGAGTGCTGTGATATGGGGCTTTGACCACGGCAACCACAACACGAACAAGCCCGACCAACTTCCTTTTTTAGCCACGATGGCTTTCCCGCTCGCCATGGCTTCGCCCACGAACAGCTTTTCTGGGACTTGCACTCGGCGCCCGGTCTTGTCGATATTGTTTCGAAAATAAAATCCAGGACGTGGACGAGCTGGCCGTGTGCTTTGTCGGCCTCAACCTTTCTATCCCCGACCCTGCTTGTGAACTCATTGGAGCCGCCTGTGCTCCCTGGGCTTACATCGACCAGTGCGTCCAAGGAGGGCTCAATCTGCTGCCAAACGGTGGCCCTCTGGATGGTGGGCTGGCCGTCGTCGAGGGATCGCATGCCGTCTATGCCCTCTTTGTCGGCTGTGGCAGCACTTTGACCACAACAAAGGTCCAGAGGGCGGACCAGGTGTGGGCAGCAGAACCTAGACGCCGACATGTCCCAGTGGATCGAGAACCGGGGCCGCCATCGGCTCAAGCCCGCGGCCGATGCCGTACGGCTGACGGTTGGAGTAGGGCCTTGGCCACCAATGTGCTCAGTACCTTTGCGACGTATTCGGTGCCGAAGGAACTGAGTATCCATAGTACAGGTTACAGCATTGGTGGTAGGACGAAAGGCGTTACTGGGGACATCGCTCATCTGCATCCTGTCGCCATGCTCGTTTCCGGAGTGAACCGTACGGAACGTGCGCGGTGTCTGTGCTCCAGTGACACAACTGGATGTGCTGCGTTCCCATACTTGCCCTGCTTGCAAATTGCTTGAGCTTGGATTTGTGCCGGTGCAGCGGCACGGATAGCAGTGTTCATCCCAACAATGCGTGGTCAGCGCTGTGCTCTTGGGTAATCGAAAGATAAGGTCATGGAGCACATCGAATACAGGGTAGCCGTCCGATGCACTTCCGATCTTGGGACATCCGCACGTGGTTCTCGTTCTTGGCGACCGGCGGCCCGTCAGGATCGATCGGTACAGCTGTAGAAGAGGGGAAAGGTTGAGGTGGCAGGTGAAACAAACCAAGGCAAAGAAAATAAGGGCAAGGTCAAGGGGACGGACGAAAGATGCCGGGCTTGGCCCGTGGGCTGTGGTGGACCGGTGACCGCCGACGTGGAGGTGAAGGTGGAGTGCGCCAATGTTATCTGATCTCGTCCACGCGGGGTCACCCAACCCCTACAACATTTTATCACAGGCGTATGATGTGAGCGCAATTCTGTTGTAGGTACTCCGATGCGGCCGCCGTTCCGTTGTTTCTTTCTGTACTCCAGACGTCGTAGTGGGGGCCCCGTCGAAGCGACTTACCGCGGACGGAGTACACGTCTTCCAGGTCTTGGAATGGGCTGGGTGGGCGCCATACCGGCGGCCACCAGGCAGACCGCCCGGCCGATCACCACGTCTTCGCAGGTCAGGGGAGCAAGGAACGTTATGCCATCAGAGGACACTGAAGGATCGTGAGTGATAACATTGTGCTCATCATATTCAGTCAAACGTTACAAGTTGACATTGAGAAGGATCGTGAATGTAACAAATTCTCTGCAGAACACCAAATATGGCGGCATCAGTCGACCATTCAGCAGATTCATAAGCCAATCCAAGGCAGCACAAAACCGTTTACGTTAATGATGAAGTCTTCCTAAGAGCAAAGTTTGCAGAGGCCGTGGTATCGATTTCGAGACTGTCTGCTATCTACTGTCGTTGTCGACGATAAAGTCTACGAAACTGACAGACAAAAAAGGGCGCAAAAAGCCTCGCAACAAAACTGAATATGATTGAAGATCCTCGTATCGATTTGCCGTGTTTGGGTCAACTTGGTCTCGGTCAGAGCTGTCCGTTTTCTGGGTGGACATGCTCACCGCTCCATCCCTCACAACACGACGACCTCACGTTCTAGCATCGGGATGCAAAGGTCTTTTGTAGAAGGAATTCAGAGTCGCCGCGGTGTCATCATTCACTTCTCTTGTTCATCGATCTCGCAAAAGTCCCTTCGACCCCTCCCTACCAAGAACACGAGAAAAGGAACAAAGAGGCATCGTTCTCATGGTTTTGCGTTTCTTTGTCAGTGTCTGCTGCAACTGGCTCGGCATGCTTGGTTGGCTCCAACGTTGGACATTTGCATTCGTCGTTGGACCCACGACGTCCATGACGATCGCCATCGCAAAGCCCAGGCGAGGTGCCTTTGTTCTCAAGTTTGCTCGATTGTGGTTCCTTGATTGTGGTTCCTCTCGTGCAGTTGCATAAATACGAGGATCATACCTTTTTTGTTAGTACTTTATGCTAGTCTCCTCTTTGTCCTTCGTCCTCGACCGAGTTAGGGGTCCTTTGTAATTTTTTTGTTCTTACTTTTCTTTCCTCTTTTCACTTCACCGGTCAGCTAAACTGCACCGACATGATGATGCACACAAAATACCGCAGCTCGGCAAACCATCTGCCATCTTGGCAGTCTTGTCCGTCCTGCGTTACAGCAGTCGTCCATCCGGAAAAAAACTGGGATGTCGGCCGACTTCCTTGTATCCATATTGTTGTCCCTGTATTTTCTACATTTCTGCATTGGTTCGTATTGCATCGTCTTTTAATTGAATCGTACAGGGAGACATGTTGACGGTTACAAAATGAACAAAGCTTGCGTCTTACACGGCAGATCCTCAAACAATATTATCGACCCATGTCAAAACCTCCAAAATTAAAATAAAATCCGAAACCAAAAACAACATTCAGTTCAGTGTCACTCTCCATATTCATCCTCGTCCTCGTCTCCTACCCAGATCTGCTGAAAGATCGGCGCCACTAAACGCCACGCCGTCTAGGACCAAGCTAGGTAACAGGCGCGAGTGTGGCGACGAGCGGTGCGCTGTACGAGACCAAGTAGTGTACGTATCAACAAAGAAGAATAGAGAATAGGCTAGAGTGAACACGATAAAGAGGAAATAGAGGAAACTGGCGAAAAGAAGGGTCGTCCATCACACCGGCACCCTGCCTTAGCCAGGTGCAATGGGAAAAGATGGTGCACACTCGATGTGCGGGTGGCTTCAGTGGCTTCAGTGGCTTTCAGTGGCTTTCAGTGGCTTTCAGTGGCTGAGTGGCTGAGTGGCTGAGTGGCTGAGTGGCTGAGTGGCTGCAGCAGTGCAGTGGCTGCAGTGCGCACTCTATGAATGTGCCAACGCCACCGTTCGATGACATGAAAGGCTTGACCAGATCTCGGCGGTACCGTTGCTGTCGGTTTTCACGAGCACAGAAGAGTACCGAGAGTACGAAGTACGTCTGTATTACAACGTAGTATTCAATATTTTGGCACCGGCGCAACGGTGTCCGACTGACCTCATTGCGCTTTGTTCATTTGCGCTTTGCCTTTTTGATCCAGTCCGTCGTATTGCCGCAACCCCGCAGTATTGGACAGACCCTTGCCACATTTTCTTCTCTTTTGGATGCAACGACATCGTTTGACATGTGCAAATCCTACAAAACGCCGTCGAGCCTACAGCGCAGTCAAACGAGCCATCGAGACGAGAGCAATGGGACATGCAAAACTATGTCGCACTCGAATAGTACAGAGAAATGAGAAGCGGCAACAAGGCCAACAGGGCAGCGAGACAAGAAGGCGGCAGGAAAAGTACAAAAGAAGCAAAAAGACGAGAAGTATACCAGAAAAAAGGCCAAAAAAGGCAGGACACCCAGGCCTCTGTCCAAAGCACTTTTGCGCTGGTCCCACTGCACTCCCCACAGCACTCCACCGCCGACAGGTCACGCTCTCTTCCGTATTGCCTGTCGTAAGATGATGGCTCGTACGGGACCGGCCCTCAAAGAAACGTCGACTCTGCTCAACCGTCTCTCCTCTACGCTCCACCCACTGCCCACCGTTGTGGCGGGCAGTCCCACGAGACCTTCCACGCTCGACCCCGCGAACCGCTAGGCCACAACAGGCATCTGCAGATGGTGCTGTGCTGCCTGCAATGCTCTGGATTGGGTGCAGCCGCCGAGCTTCGGTTTGGTTCCTTATGTTCCTTTGGCCATTGTTTCTCTTCCATCGTTCATCCGCGGTCTCCGCCACGCTTTTCCTGCTTCTTCTTTTTCTTCTTTTCCGTCTTTTTCTTCCTTCTGTCGCCTTCCCTTTCGAGTCCGTCGTACTCGTATTCTCGTACCTCCACCGGCTAGTCGGCATGACTTTTGTGGCTGGGCTTCCGCCAAACAGTAGGTGACTCGGACGAAATATCAAATAGATACATAGTGACCATGCGCACTGCTCCATGCTCATTACTCAGCTGTCCATGTGCAATGTTCAATGTTCACTCTCAAGAGTACCATCGTACTGCGATCGGCCGCATCCACTGGCGCTTTGTCAGGATCCCTTGTTCTTGCAACGCAGTATTCGGCAGTGTGCAGTCCCGAGCGTCCAGCTTGGGTCTCAGAGGGTCATGCTGATCGTTCCGAAGTAGGCATGGGCTTGCCAGCGTCTTTTCGAGCGTATTTGCAAGTCTTTCTACGATACGGCGGCAAAGCCTTGCGAAAGAAGAAAAAAGAAAGAAAAAAACGCGCAGAGACAAACGCTGATGCCCCGCCAGCACAACTGCAACAGCCCGGAAAGCCAGCGAGTCCAGCGAGTGCGAGTCTGGGCGCATTCTCCACCCACACCGTGTGTTTGCGGGGCTGACACCATGACGCAGCGGCAAACACGGCGTATTAGTGGATGGTATGCGACCATCCGGCGGCACAAAAAAAAATTGACAGAAAGAAAAAAAAAAGCTCGACCAAAATATTGACTGATGTCATCCCACAGACGCCAGCATGACCGAATGCGGTGAAATGCGATCAAATGCGGCCAAAAGAGCGGCCAGCCAACAACCAACAAACACCAAAGTGTCTAGCGTAACAAATGGCTCGACGACGAATCAATAGACCAACAGGGCCATGTCACGACTTTATGCGATCTGAATTCACATAATGCATGATGCATTCTCGGTCCCTCCTCGTTCTGGTGGTGTGCCCGCGTGCAGCGCCAGCCACCGTCCACTGACACCCAGACACGCAAGGTGTTTTGCCCTTGCTGTCAGGTCTGCAGTTTGCCTATCTGCACATCTGCAAGTCTGTCAAGGAAATGCACGTCTGCTGTTGGTGCCGAGGCCAACTCCAAAAAAACCCATCCAATCCGATCCTGTCGGTCGCCCGATGTCAACAAGCCCGACAAAGCGGGGGGGCTGCGGTTTGGGTCCCTTCTTGTGGTCGTCTTGTCTGTTTCTTGTCTTCTTTCTTCTTTCGGACACTTGAGAGTAAGACTACCACGTATTAGTCCGCTCTCTTTTCCGCCACCTCACGACCAACACCCCCTCCGGACGGAGCGTCCAACACCCCGTCATGGTCATTATGGTCATTAATGGTCTTTAGGTTTCTATGGTCTCCTCCGGTTCTTATTGTTGACCCGTTCCCACGCCCCGTCCCCACAACCCATTGCGCTGCTCTGTTGGTCTTAGCCATGGTCTCGGGCCATGCAAGCTACCCGTTCTCGTTTTTGTCCGTTTGGCCCGTTTGTCCTTTTCCCTTTTTGTCTATTTCCGTCCTCCCTCGCTTTGTGCTCTTTGATGTAGCCTCCTGTAGTCTCATGCATTCGTAGCTAGTCTGCAGAAAGAACCTGTACCAACGAGAACCTGCAAAGCCGCAGCTCTCCGACCAGCTCAGGTCCGTTTTTGTCTGGTCAGCCCATGGTGTGCTCTTCGCAGCTTATAAAGAGGCCATTGTCCGGCTCGCCCCTCGCGATGCCACGCACCCGGGGAAATATGTGATTTGCTCTTGCTTTTCGATGGTATTTCATTATTTCCCCCTTTCTTTGTTTTTTGCTGGTCCCTTTCCTTACATCCGGATATACAGTGATTTAAAGCAGCTAGTGCTCAGGCCGCATTATAGATCTGCAGCATCTATAGCCTCCCATCGCCAGCTATAGTCTCGTTGTTTGTTGTCTTCTACTCCGTCACTTCTCCTCCCCCAACGTCATGCATTCGTTTGCTGTCCTCGCCCTGGCGGCGGCGAGCCTGCCTTCCGCCCTAGCTGCGCCGGCTCCCGTGGTCGAGCCACCTGTCCCAGCTGCACCGGCCGCACCCGTCTACGACTTCCGGAGTCGCCGTCTGCTGGGCGTCCCCCCTAGCAGCGCAGCCAGCTTCAATGTGACCGACCAGCCTATTGCGCCCACCGAGGACCCCTGGTACACCGCGCCCTACCAGTTTGAGAACGAGGCCCCCGGCACCATTCTGCGCGTGCGCCCGGCCCCGGGCAACCTGAGCGCCATCACGGGCAACTGCTCGTCGGCCTGGAATATTCTGTACCGCACCACCGGCTCGCGTTACAACCCGACGTGGGCCGTGACGACGCTCTTTGTCCCCTTTGAAAACGCCACGACAGGGCGCAACGGCTCCATCCTGTCGTACCAGATCCCCTACGACTCGGTGTCGCTCGACGCCAGCCCCAGCTACGCCCTGTACGCCGGCGTCGACGTGGACATTAGCGAGTCGCTGGGCAAGGGCTGGTTTGTCAGCGTGCCCGACTACGAGGGCCCGCTGGCATCGTTCACGGCAGGCGTGCTGTCGGGCCACGCGACCATCGACTCGATCCGTGCCATTCTGCGCAACACCGTGCGCTTCGGCGTGCCCGGCAACACAAGCTATGCCATGTGGGGCTACTCCGGCGGCGCGCTGGCGAGCGAGTGGGCGGCCGAGCTGGCGGTGCAGTACGCGCCCGAGCTCCGCTTCAGCGGCGCCGCGCTGGGCGGCCTGACGCCCAACGTGACGAGCGTGCTCTACTCAGTCTACAACAGCGTCGAGGCCGGCCTCGTGCCGCCGGCCATCCTAGGCATCGCCAACCAGTTCCCCGACGTCTACCAGTACCTCCTGTCGCGGCTCAAGACGGAGGGCCCCTACAACAAGACGGGCTTCCTGGCGACGCAGACGTACTCGCTGTCGAAGAACATTGCCACCTACGCCCTCCAGAACATCTCCGAGTACTTTGAGGGCGGCCTGCAGGACATCTTCAGTCCCCAGGCCCAGCAGGTCATCCACTCCGACGGCCTCATGGGCTACCACGGCGTCCCGCAGATGCCCCTCTACGTCTACAAGGCCATCAAGGACGAGGTCTCGCCCATCAACGACACGGACGCCCTGGTGGAGCGCTTCTGCGGCGTCGGCGTCAACATCAACTACGCCCGCAACACCAACGGCGGCCACTCCGCCGAGGGCACCAACGGCCGCGACGGCGCCGTCACCTGGCTCAACAGCATCTTTGACGGCAGCTTCGCCACGTCGGCGAATGCGACAGGCTGCTTTGTTCAAAACGTCTTTGTGAACGTGTCGTCGTCGCAGTTTTAGGCGCTGACGGGTGACGCAAGAACGTCATGTATATAATTACGAGCACATGAGAAATGTACATAATGGGCGAAATGCTCGATTTGGATCTGGCTTTGTGTTTTTAATTCTGGGGTTGGATTGGGTTGGTCAGCGCGGTTATTTGCTTTGCTTATCGTCTCGCTGTTGCTCCTCGTTAATGTTTATTTCGTAATACAATGTAAAAGTCATTTTATTATTTACGAGTTACTGTACACAGCACAGACATGCCGTCCGATAAACAATCTGACTGTTAGATGACGTCGTTTCCCGATCCGGCGATGGTCCATGCGCAGTGCGCTGGTGCACGGTCAGACTGATGCTGGTCGCTGTCAGCCCTGTAATCCGGGTGCATACGCTGAACACGGCAATGATTGTCCCCTAAGCTCCCTGCTCCGCGCTACCAGAGAAACGACACAAACGCACCCCATCGATTTACAGCATCAGAACCTTGTGTTCATCCCGACACATGCACCCGCCGCCACTAACCTATTTTATGGTGCAGATAGTTTGTGTCATCGACGGTCATCTACATCGCAGCCTTACGACTGGGGTAGCACAGCATCGTATTTCGTACCCTGCTACCAATCTCTCATGCCCGGTCTGCCGGTCCAATTGCCTCTTTCAGTCATTCGGGTCTAGCCTCTAGGTGAAGCGAAGAACTGCTGGGTGTGTGGTCGTGAGGATTTAATCGTAGAATTTGACCCTGGAGACCACGCTGAAAGAACAAAAGAAGAGCAGGGGACGGAGAATGATAAAAACCTGAGATTCATCGTCGTTGATTCTGACTCAACAACGGACGCAGACAACTCGTGGTCCTCGTGTCCGCAATGCCCATAACACAACAGCATTCAAACCAGATCATCAACGCCGACAATGTGTATGGTCACGACACTGTTGAAGGCGACCGCATACGGCCAGAAGAGCATAGAGCGCAAGGCTTTTTATTGTCATAGTACAATGCCTGTAAACAGTGATTGTCAAATCCTGTGGATTAAAAATCGTTACGTTCATCCCGCGTGATGTTGCAACCGAAACGCCATAACCCCGTAATATGCCATCCCATACCCGTACCTTGCCGATATCCTATCTGGCCATGCTTACCCCTGCCCAATGCCTGCCCGTTTGCAGGATCCCGTCCAGTCTTCATCCTCGCCCTGCCCGTGAGTTACCGAATCTCCTCGTCCCGCAGGAACGTCGCGATGCTCCCCGAACGCTCCGGTGCTCCGGGCAGCCCGTCCAGTGGCTGCGTGATCAGCCGCTCAAACAGATCATCGTCTTGCTCGTACAGCGCCTCGCCGACCCGCCCCAGATGCTGCTCAAGCACAAGTTGACGCTGCTTCTCCTGCGGCGGCAGCGGCAGCTGCAGCGTCCGCGCCTTGACGAGCGCCAGCTCGTCCAGTGCGCTGTCCGCCGGTGGCGCGTTCTCGTCCACGGCATACAGCTTGATGCCGCGAATGTGCGTGTCCTTGCCGTTCTGGTGGTTTTCCTTGACGCGGATCTGCACGATCCAGCAGCACAGCGACCGCCCGTCGGCACCGCCGCCCACCTGGCTGAGGTCAATGTCCTGCCACCCGACGGGCGTGGTGAGCGCCAGCGACGCAAACTCGAGGAGGTCGTGGTGGCCGGTGCCCGCCGACAGGACGACCGACGTGGGTGTGTACGACTCGTCCTGGTTGTAGTCGACATAGAAGCGGATGGCGCGGATCTCCACGCGCCGCAGGAAATGGATGGTCAGCAGATGCGGCTGCGGGCCGTCCGACTGCCAGTACTTGCCGAGGTCGTCGTGCAGCAGCTCGTCGACGCCGTTGCCCGGCTTGTGGCTGCTGACGCTAAAGTGGGCCAGGTTGTTGATTTCCTTGAGGCCGAGCACCACGGGGTCAAACGACACGGCGGCGCCGTCCGCGTCATCCTCGTCGACCACGTCGACGCCCTCTTCGCCGACCGGGCCGTGCAGATCGTCGTCCTCTTCCTCCTCCTCCTCTTCGTCATCGTCGTCGTCGTCGCCAACCGCCTCGTCGTCGTCGTCCGAGTCCGAGTCTGAGTCGACAACCCGTTGCGCAGCAAACTCAAATTCGTCGTCGGGGCTGTCGTCGTCGTCTTCGTCCATGCCCTCGTCGTCGTCGGCCGCAGCGTCCTGTCCCTCGTGGTCCTCGTCGTCTTCATACTCGTACGAGTCGTCCCCGTCCAGAGCATGTCTCCCTGCTCCTGCTCGCGCGCCCGGTGGAGGCCGCCCGCCCCGCAGCCGTGCCATCTGTGCCATCTGAGCCATCAAATTGTCCGCAATTGCGTCGTCGTCCATGTCCGCGTCGTCCTCTTCTGTATCGTCCGAGGCAGCGAACTGGTTGCCGTAGGGGTCGACGGCAGGTGAAACACTGTGTGCGCCGCGAGCATACCTCAAGTTTGGTGGAGGGCCGGGTGGGAAGGGGAGAGAGGGAGGTGTTGCCGTCGCCGCGGCAGACGCTGAAGCTGAAGCTGAGGCAGCTCGAAACCCGCCAGGACGGTCGTATCGCAGAGCCTCTTCGCCGCGCCGCGCTGCCCGTCGTGGACCGCGTAATGGATTGCTCGGGTCCATGTGCAATATGCCGTCGTGAGTTGGCAGATAAAAAGGTTGTTCGCTGTCGCTGTGAGCTATGTTTTTGTTGACGTTGGAGGGGAAGCTTTGAAGTCAGAGCTTGGAGAGCTACACGTGATTGCGGTCGAATTTCGCGTTTTCCGGGCCTTTGGGGCACTTTGAGCAATTAGGCTCCAGCGCGTCGCGACAGGCTAACGGGTAGCCCAAGCCCACTTTAAACTGCCCCAGTAATTACTGAATTTCGGACCTTTGCATCGCATCGCCAACATTCCTGGACAGGACCATTTTGACAGCCTTTTGTGGACTTGGTTGCTGTGCACTCCCCATTGACCTCATTGTCAAAAACAAGACAATGGTCCGCAACGCAGGTATGCTGACCCCTCTAGTTCTCCTCGTGCTCCTCGCCCTCTCTCCATCTCCCATTCGCCTAACAAAATAGAGCCGGATACAATCCGCATCCTCGTGGCCACCGACAACCATGTCGGCTACGAGGAGCGCGACCCCATCCGCAAAGACGACAGCTGGCGCACCTTTGACGAGATCATGAACCTGGCCCGCACCGAGGACGTCGACATGGTCCTCCTAGGCGGCGACCTCTTCCACGACAACAAGCCGTCCCGCAAAGCCATGTACCAGGTCATGCGCAGCCTGCGCCAGAACTGTCTGGGCATGAAGCCCTGCGAGCTCGAGTTTCTGAGCGACGCCGCGGAGATCTTCGAGGGCGCCGTCGGGCATGTCAACTACGAGGACCCGGACATCAACATTTCCATCCCCGTCTTCTCCATCCACGGCAACCACGACGACCCCAGCGGCGACGGCCACTACTGCTCGCTCGACCTGCTGCAGGTGGCCGGGTTTGTCAACTACTTTGGCCGCGTGCCCGAGGCCGACAACATCAAGGTGAAGCCCGTGCTGCTCCAGAAGGGGGCCACCAAGCTGGCCCTCTTTGGCACGGGCAACGTCCGCGACGAGCGCATGTTCCGCACGTTCCGCGACCACAAGGTCACCTTCTTCCGGCCCAACCAGCAGGCCGCCGACTTTTTCAATCTCATGGTCGTCCACCAGAACCACCACGCGCACACGGCCACAAGCTACCTGCCAGAAAACTTCCTGCCCGACTGGCTCGACCTGGTGGTCTGGGGCCACGAGCACGAGTGCCTGATCGATCCACAAAAGAACCCCGAGACGGGCTTCCACGTCATGCAGCCCGGCTCGTCCGTGGCGACGTCGCTTGTGCCCGGCGAGGCCGTGGCCAAGCACGTGGCCATTGTCAGCGTGACAGGCAAAGAGTTTACCGTCGACAAGATCCCGCTCAAGACGGTGCGGCCGTTTGTCACGCGCGAGCTTGTGCTGGCCCAGGAAAAGCGGTTCAAGGACCTGGCCAAGAAGCGCGACAACCGTGCCGAGCTGACACGCCGACTGATGCTGGTCGTCGAGGAAATGATTGAGGAGGCCCGTGCGGAGTACATGGCGCTGCACGACAACGGCCGGGCCGACGCGAACGACGCGAACGGCGACGGCAACGAGGATGGCGACGGCGACGACGACGATGAAACGCCGTTGCCTCTCATCCGCCTCAAGGTCGAATACACCGCGCCGGAGGGCGGCAATTTCGATTGCGAGAACCCGCAGCGGTTCTCCAACCGGTTTGCCGGCAAAGTCGCCAACGTCAACGACGTCATCTACTTCCACCGGCGCAAGACCACGGCGGGGCAGACCAAGGCCGGGACCGCTGCGTTGCCGGGCGGTGTGCGCGACGCCGCGGCCGGCGTCGATTTCAACGCCATCAAGGTCGAGGCTCTCGTGGACGAGTACCTAGCGGCGCAGTCCCTCAAGATTTTGCCGCAGGGCGAGTTTGGCGACGCCGTCAACCAGTTCGTCAACAAGGACGACAAGCACGCCATGGACACCTTTGTGTCGGGCTCGCTGGCCAACCAGCTGAAGGATCTGCTGGCCCTCGGCGCCGAAGACGAAGAGCTCGACACGGCCATAGAGCGGCTGCGCGACGAGCGCGAGCGGCAGTTCCAGGCGGGGCTGGTCAAGCAGCGGCACAAGCGCCTGTACAAGCCGAAGCCGGACGACTGGGACTCGGACATGGAGGGCCACTGGGAGCAGCACCCGGGCGCACTGCTGGATCCTGCAGACTCAGCGTTGTCGACACCGGCGCCGGCGCCGACAGCAGCGTCCCATGCGCGGTCCCAACTGGACGCGGTGCGGGCACGCGCGGCCGCGGCATCCTCTCGCGCAGGGCCGAGCAGCAGCATTGACGAGGACCTCATGATGGACGACTTTGACAGCCTGGCCCCGGTCGCCGTGACAAAGACGACGGCAGCGAAGCGGACAACAAAATCCGCAGCGGCGAGCTCATCCCGAGCTAAAGCAACGACGTCAACACGACGAGCCCCGGCTGCCAAACGCAGCGCTTCGGGCCGCAAAAAGGGACCATTTGAAGACTCTGAGTCGGACGAGGACGATGTCGTGATGGACGACGACGACGATGTCGACGAAGAAGAAGAGGCCGACGAGATTGAGGACGACGGGATGGAGGAGCCTGCGCCACCACCCACACGCCGCGGCCGGGCCGCGCCCGCCAGAGCGCCTGCCAGGGGTGCGGCAGCAGCCAAATCAGCAACAAGCAAAGCTGCTGCTGCTGCCGCGAAACCAGCGACCGGTCGGCTGCGGCAGACCACGCTGCAACTGTCACAGTCCCAGGCGCCGGCACCGTCCCAACGGCCACGAGCAGCGGCCGCGCCCACGACTACAAGAGGCAAGAAGGCAGCGGTTCAGGAAATCAGTGCGGATGAGATCTCGGACGATAGCGACGACTTTGAGCCACCGCCGACCACACGGACGACGCGGAGGCGGTAGCCATGCTGGGATGTACGAGTTGTAATGTGTGGATTTTAATATCTTATGCGGCATGTCAATACATAGCGAAATTGCAGATCATTTAAAAGGAAGCGATCCAATATCAAATCGTTCTGTGTCGATGCCTTGGCTGTCTCCTCTGTCAAGGCTGGCGGTGCTCATAGCGTGAAACGTAGGTAAGAGACGCCCCACTTTGGCGGTCGACGGGCGCATTTTGCTGGCGCAGTCAACGGCAGCCCAGCGTCACTTCCATCGTACCTTTTGCCATCTCCTCGTCCGGTCGCAATCTTCGGCGTTCTCCATTCCGCGTCACCTCCCACTCCGCCATCATGGCCTCCATCGCCACCCTCCAGCGCATGACCGCGGCCCAGCTCGCGGAGCGCATCCTCGCCAAACCCACCGCCCAGTCCCTTGCCATTGTCGACGTCCGAGACGACGGTCCGTTCCAATGCGCCCCCTTTTTCCCCTGAATTCGATTGGCCAGTCACTGACTTTTGCCCTTGCAGACTACATCGGCGGCCACATCAAGGGCGCCCTGCACTTTGCGTCGGGCAGCCTCGACGCCACCATGCCCACGCTCCTCCGCAGACTCGAGGGCATCGACACCGTCGTCTTCCACTGCGCGCTGTCGCAGCAGCGGGGGCCCGGCGCGGCGCTGCGGTACCTGCGGGAAGTGCAGTCCAAGGCAGGCGGCGCAGACGGCGCAGCAACGTCGCCCAAGCAGACGGTCTACGTGCTGGACCGCGGCTTTGTCGGCTGGCAGGAGGTCTACGGCGAGGACACGCGGCTGACGGAAGGGTTCCGGAAAGAACTGTGGGCGAATTACTGAGCGAGTAGCGGTGACTTGTCCGGTGGCTTACGACAACAGGTAGCGGGAGGCAACAAGTGAAATGGCTAGATATCTTTGGGGGGACGGCAGCCAGTCACACATAGGCGAATCAATGCTTTGAGAAAATGAGAGCGTGACGCAGTCAAAACAAACACTGGTCAACTTGTTTACAAAGAGGGATGGTAATACGTACAAGTAGACGAAGGATAGATAAACTATGAAGTTGTTTTAAGGAATTGTTCCGTTGACGTAAAGGAATAGTCTCTTGAGCTTGAATTAGTTTTTTTTTTTTTTTAATTTCTCTTCATTAAAAAAAGAAAACAATCACTCTATCGCGTCTCAAAATCCAATAAATTATAGAATGACTAAATTTATCTATTTAATACTTTAAAATATATATATACATAAATAACATATCTCTGCGTTCATGTGCCACGAGAAGAATCAATGAATTCACTTGACCTGTCAATTGTCCTTTGACAGCCTTGCCGATTCGCGATCAGACTAGCTGCAACAAAATGACCACTGCCGATGTAGGATCTGTCTGGGCGGTGGAACAAGCCGCTAGGCCCCTGTTAGGCCCCTGGTTGTTGTGCTTTCCCCACTGTCTTTACCGCCTGTTGTCAACAAACACACCCCACCAACCAGCACAGACGGCACGGTCGAGACGGTCAACAGCAGGAGATCGTGTGCCATTGGCCCATTCCCAACTTCGATTGATTGCAGACCGCATATCTTTTCTATGCCCCGTGTTGCTTCTCGAGTATTGTGACAAGTGACCGCTCACGTCACTAAATCAACAAGCACACAGAACCACGACAACGTCCTTAACAAACCATCCGACTCGACTCGACTGAATTCGACACAACTCGAAACAACGTCACGCATCACTCCAATAACTTCTCTCCAAACTTCCTCTCTACTCCTCCACCTCCCCCCTCTCTCGACATGTCCCCATGGCCACAGTGTCGTCCACGTCGCTGTTGTCTCGGACGAGGTCCGGTCGCCTGCCGAGCGGCAAGTCTGCCGGCCACGACGCGGTGACTGCCCATTCGGCCGTGTCCTCTGCGTCCTCCTCTGTCGGACGGCCCTCGGCCTCCTCTCTCTTTCTCTCGACCTCCTACGTCGACGTCTTCCTCACCAACCTCCGCCTCCTCGACCTCGACCTCCGCCCCGACTGGCCCGGCATTACGGCGCGCACGTTTGCTGCCAAAGATGCCACCCAGGGCCAGAAACGCCGCATCCAGAGCGTCGAGTGGGCGCTCTTCCACCTGTTTTGCTTCTGGGACCCCGACGAGGCCCG